TTCTCACCAGGTAACTTTATCAGGTTTTCACCAAGTAACTTTATCAGGCTTTCACCAGGTAACTTTAATAGATTATCGCCAGGTAACTTTACTAGGTTCTCACCAGGTAACTTTATCAGGCTTTCACCAAGTAACTTTATCAGGCTTTCACAAGTTAACTTTACTAGATTATCACCAGGTAACTTTACTAGATTATCATCAGGTAACTTTATCAGGCTTTCACCAAGTAACTTTATCAGGCTTTCACAAGTTAACTTTACTAGATTATCACCAGGTAACTTTACTAGATTATCATCAGGTAACTTTATCAGGCTTTCACAAGGTAACTTTAATAGATTATCGCCAGGTAACTTTACTAAGTTCTCACCAGGTAACTTTATCAGGCTTTCACCAGGTAACTTTAATAGATTATCGCCAGGTAACTTTACTAGGTTTTCACCAGGTAACTTTATCAGGCTTTCACCAAGTAACTTTATCAGGCTTTCACCAGGTAACTTTACTAGATTATCACCAGGTAACTTTACTAGGATCTCACCAGGTAACTTACCTAGATTATCACCAGGTAACTTTATCAGGCTTTCACAAGGTAACTAATAGATTATCATCAGGTAACTTAACTAGAGTATCATCAGGTAACTTTAGTAGGCTCTCACCAGGCAACTTTATCAGGCTTTCACCAGGTAACTTAACTAGATTATCATCAGGTAACTTAACTAGATTATCATCAGGTAACTTTACTAGGATCTCCTAGTAAAGTTACCTGGTGATAATCTAGTAAAGTTAACTTGTGAAAGCCTGATAAAGTTACCTGGTGAGGTAAGTTATGTTAAAAGGCCAACATTCACCTTGTGTAAATCTTTTTAATATTTTGTTTATGTGTTTAGTCATATAAAGCTCATTTCCAATATGACATTGGCCATTCTTCAGAAAGACATGTAAAACCTTCCCTAAATACTTTTTTTTTCAAGTTCTACAAAATTTTATAAACGACTTATTATGTACCTTGTTTTTAAGAGTATGAGTATACGTTGATTTGGCTATTCTCCAGAAAAAATGTAAAAACTTTCCCTAAATGTTTTTCTAGATATGTAAGAGAATTATTATACTACGTTTTTTGGCACTAATATGAAATCTAATTAAGTTAATACACATGAGAAAGTTTCTCGTTCGATATGCAGAGGGTAGTGTGATTCGAAATGGAAGAATATATAATTGTTACTTTTTCTAAAGGCTGGTTACAGTTTATTTTAATCTTTTGTGGTTAGGATATCTGTGAAAACAAGCGAGTTAGTGGACACTAGATGGAGGGTATTTAGTGATGTATGTAAATGTAATATTGTGTCTAGCCCGTGATTCCATTTTCCAAAGATGCCGTTGCTGGACCTAGAAACACACGTAAGGTTTAAAAGACTTATTGTTATATAACACTGTTCAAATATTTAGGTTTTATTGTGTACATGAATATGACAGAGATGGAAACACCCTTACTATTACCGATTGCCACTCCTTTGCTCTGGTGGTAGCACTTTGGGTCAGGTTTGACGATGTTGTTTAGAAGAAGAAAGGGTCATTTGTTTAATGTTGTCTACATTAAAACCATTTCTGTTAAGCGGATGGAGAAAGCCTTATATATATAAATGAGGGCCGGTATCGCTAAAATTCCGGTTTCGATACCAACAGTGGGCAGAGCACGGGTAGCCCATTCTATAGCTTTGTGCTTAACAACAAACAAACAAAACATGATTATGTTACTTAAGAGGAATAACAAATCCAAATACCAGTAGAGGTTGGTAATTCCGAGTAAACTGATGACTAGTTTTGTTCTTACGAAGTTCCGGCATCATTCAGTGTCTAATAGCAACTCGCATGGTAGATTTAGTTTCGCTTTTCTTTTTTTAGTATTCTAGACAACTTCTCAGGTGAATAATTTACAAAAATAAATCAGTAGCATCAATACTTCATATTCTGGAAATTTCTATATAAATTAAAAATGAAAATGCTAAAGCTAATTTAAAATCATAAATAATATTCAACGTTAAAATTGGTAAACAATTAAAAACATTTTATTTAGGCCTATCTATGGCCTTCAAAAAGTTGTCGACTCTACATGTTTCGACGTTGCAACGTCATCCTCAGGAGTGAATTACAAGACAATGCTAAAGTATCTATAACTTTTTAGTAGGTCATGTGACCTGTATGCGGAAAGCTAATATTCAAAAACAAATATTTTGCTAGTGCTCAATTTTTAATACATATTTTTTGTTGTTGTTTTTAACCATCGTTTAATTCTACTTTCTTTCTGAAAGCTACTTGAACAACAAAGATTTAAAGACATTATCAAAATCAAGACTATTGGGTCAACATACATGGCTGCGAGTGGACTTAACAGTGAAGAATTTGTAAAGGTACAGTAATTAGGATGTATTTTAAATAATGACCGAGTAAACTTACCATGAAATTAACAGTGTAAAATGTTCTAACTTTCCCGTTAAGCGGTGAAACGGTTTGTATGTCGGTTAAATATATAATAGAGTGTCAATCTAAATTAAGAATTTAGGTCAAAAATATAATGGGTATTTTAATTAAAATAAAAAAATGGTTTATAAAGTAACATTTAGAAAATAAGATGAATTTTATAAAGTTAATAAAGTTAACAGATGTTTCCGCATATAAAAGCTATCTTCAAGTTTTGTACACCAAAAAACTTTTCAAATAAAGTTATAGTAAAAAGAAAAGAACCACTTCTCATGGTTCAGCGGTAAGTCTGAGGACTTATAACTCTAAAAACTGGGTTTCGATACCTGCGGTAGACAGAGTACCGATAGCTCGTGGTGTAGCTTATTGGTTACTAACAAACAAACAACAAATAATAAAAATACAATGAAGATGCTAGAAGATAATTGAACTGAGCCCGAATTTCCAGATTGCTAATATATTTAACGTAAATAAATATCAAACTAATTTCTTCATGAACACATCACATATTTATATTTCTTTAGTTATTTTCCTTTATAATAATAAAATAGAATAAATACGTAATTTTTACTTTTAAATCTTTTTTATTCAATCAAAGTATTAATAAGTCACTGACTGACAAATATTCCGTAACTGTAGGAAAAACCGTTATTTTGTGTTTCGGAGTGTTCCACTCAAACATTTTTCTACAGTGTGAAATAATTACATCAAGAAATGTGATTTTGAATATTTTAATATTATTTTATAGCCAAATGTTCCGGTTTTACAGAAGTGGCGCCATCTAGCGCACTTAACTGACTTCGCTTTGACCTTGAAAGAAACGCTCAACAATATCAACAAAGAAAGTTTTAATAATTTTGTGCTACGAATGGGTAAGATTTATGTATAATCGTTAAGAAAACAATGTGAAATTGGATATATTTAATAATGATTTAAATTATTTCATTGAATGAGGAATTGATATACTAATGTGATAACTTCTATCATAAGAGTTGCTAAACACCTCCAATAGCAAATTAAAAACAATTAGTTTTAATCATGAGTGACAGGCAAACTACAAAAACCTCTATGACCAATCTGCCTTAGGTCATCAATTAGGTACAGTCGCTGTTAGCGGTGTTTTCGGATTTTATCCCAAGAACACCTGATAAAGTTAGGCCTAATTAGTGAATTATTATTCATCCAAACAGAAATGTCATATGTAGAGCTTCATGTACCATGTATATCACATATAGCCAACATACTTATTATTATTTAAGGAATTTAATGTTATATTCTAATAGATTATTTTAATTTAGTAATAATACTGTAGATTATACAAAGTCGTATAAAATCACGTCTTATTAGCATGTAACAAGTTCTGGCTAGATCTCTATAGATCTACAAATGTACAAGTCGTAATTATCATAGTCTAGACGTGTGAAAAAATTTTTTATTTTGTGAATATGGTATTAACAAATACTTTTATTCCATTATTATTCAAGTATGTAATAACATTAAATTTAGGATAAACACAGCCCCAAACTAAAGAAAATATTTGTGATATGTAACACTAACTCCATTAAGTAATACAATTCATGCCGTGACCAGATTTGATAATTACTCGTGTGCTATTTTATTGCTAAAAGTTAAGTTAAAATTAACCCCAAATATCAATTTTACAGCGGTATTGGGATAAATTTACAGTATTCTGCAAATATATGTTGGTCGTTCATAACATCGCTAAAACATTTTAAATCTGGAGACCTGACAGTCACACGTGATCTAAGTTGTGATGTCAAGGTTTACTCAATTTCAGTTCCAGATTTTTCTCTCTCTCTTCGGTTATTATCGTATCTACAAACTAATCCAGCGGTTTTTACAGCTTTTATTAAAAATAATTCATTTCTTCATGTTATTATCTCTTTGAAACTAAATCTTTATCTGGGTTTGGGCCCGGCATGACCTAGAGGGTAGGGCGCTCGTTTGTTTGTTATGGATTTCGCGCAAAGCTACACGAGGACTATCTGCGCTAGCCGTCCCTAATTTAGCAGTGTAAAACTAGAGGGTACGCAGCTAGTCATCATCACCCACCGCCAATTCTTGGGCTACTCTTTTACCAACGAATAGTGGAATTGACCGTCACATTATTACGCTCCACGGCTGAAAGGGCGAGCATGTTTGGTGGGACGGGGATTCGAACCCACGACCCACAGATTGTGAATCGAGCACCCTAACCACCTGGCCATGTCGGGCCTAGGGCGCTCGACTCGCAATTTTGCGGGTCGCGGATTCAAATCTCTGTCATCGAACCTGCTCGTCCTTTCAGCCGTGGGGCGATATAATGTGACGGTCAATTCCACTATTCGTTGGTAAAAGAGTATCCCAAGAGTTGACGGTGTATGGTGTTGACTAACTGCCCTCCCTCTTGTCTATCACTGCTAAATTAGGAACGACTAGTGCAGATGGCCCTCCAGTAGCTTTGCGCGAAATTCACTACAAACAAATTACTCTGGTTTTTACAGGTCACACACAGCATTTTTGTTCTTACGAAATTTCTTGATAGCAGACTTCCACTGCGGTCATTTCCGTTAACAGAAAAAATTGTGGAACTGTAATATGTATGATGTAAAGAAGTGAATCATATTAATGACATAAGTCATCAACCATGATATTTTCATATCATACCAACTAGTCAGAAACTGATCTCTTAAACGTTTTAATTTTATATGAACTGTCATTAAAATCCAAGGGAAACCTAATGTGGAAATGTAAAAAATATTCCAATGTAAAGTGATGTTTATGTTTAAAAAAGAATGAAAAATTATACTAAAAGAAAGTATACGTCTCTGAATTCATCTGTTCAATATTTAATTCTTTTTTTACTGTCAAGTTATATATTTTATTGGAAACCTGAAAAGATTTTTCTCAGTAGAATTTTGAGCTTTTAATTTTCGTAAAGTTATGTTATGAATTAAGACTAGAGGGAAGGCAGCTAGTCATCACCACCCACCGCCAACTCTTGGGCTACTCTTTTACCAACGAAAAGTTTCCGTCAAAAGAAAGTAACTGGTGATTATTGCTATGCTTACTCATAGATGGCGCTTGATCTGTGTGTCTTGTTTTTGACTTAATTCGCTCTGAAAAAAAAACTCATTTTGTATGACATTGTTTCTTCCACTATCCAGGAATTAACCAGGGTCCTATCACGGCAGGAGTTATTGGTGCTAGAAAACCTCATTATGACATGTGGGGAAACACAGTCAACGTTGCCAGCCGAATGGAAAGCACTGGAAAAGCAGGCTGTATACAGGTAAAATTGGCACATAATTCAATACGCTTTTCACTTTGAAGCTGCCCTTTTCAACAGGCTACAAACAGTCGTAAGCTGCGATTTTATCGATGGCTGAAACTTTCTTATTTAAATATTTCCGAAGTAAATGTCTGTAATTGTATTAAGTTTGCTTAAATGGATCGCCGGATGGAAAATGAACATATTTTGAATCAATACGCGTATAAAATGCTATTGATCGATAAATAAGCAATAGATTGGTAGATATTACTAAAAATTAGTTTGCTACTGTCTTTCACAGGTGGTTCAAGCGACTGCTCAGATTTTACACGAATTTGGTTATGTGTTTGAACAACGAGGACTGGTAACGGTAAAGGGAAAAGGAAAACTGATGACTTATTACTTAATCGGCAAACAAACAGGAAAGAAATCTCCACCAGAAGATAAAATTTCTTTACGAGGAATTATACGTGATGTAGTAAAAATCCAGCACTCGGACTAGATATATTTGTTGATAGACAATGTCTGGTAAGATGGAATCATATTTTTACATAATTAAATAAATTCCAGGTAAGTTCTTCAAAAGAGGGCGCTGTCTCCCCGATGGTATTCTGAGCATGGAAAATGTACATTAACCGCTAGTCATCCTTGGACGAACCATCACTTCTGGATAAGTCTTCACTTATGCGTGTACATTACGCTTACTACTATAAAATGTATTGAAATTTAGTGTGGCTTAGCTTGAACAATGTTCACTCTCAAGCAAAGAAAATGTTCTGACTAAAAATAACATAGTGGTGAAAGTCTTCTTAAGTTACCTGGTAAGATCCTAGTAATGTTACCTGGTGAGAGCGTTATGGTAAAAAACAACAACAACAACAAACAATTATAAATAGTAAAACAAACTACCTAACACATAATACGAAATCATTCAAGTAGGGCTAGCATGGCCAGGTGATTAAGGATTCACAATATGAGGGTAGCGGGTTTGAATTCCCGCCTCACCAAACATGCTCGCCCTTTCAGCTGTGGGGGCGTTATAATGTAACGATCAACCTCACTATTATTCGTTGTTAAAAG